CTTCGTGTGGACGGGGCCTTAGTTTGTGAGAAACTTAAGACTCAAGTCAACAATCGCCTTGATCAAAGACTACCTGACAAACAGACCAAAGTTTGTTAGACTGAAGGTTCATCTGTCTAATCAAGTACTCAGCAGCACAGGAGCACCACAGGGGATGGTACTTTCTCCATTCTTTTTTACTTTCATGGAGAGTGACCAAAATAGGCTTCTCCAAATCTGGTGCAAGACGGATCGCTACAGATCTTTCTTGCCTACAGCTATCAACTCCTACAACAACTGGTTAAAAAAACAAAACAACAACAATATGAGTTACTGCAACATTTAATTTCACTTTGGGATTGTTAAAGTATTTTTATATTAGATAGGTCTCTGGACAGGTCACCAGTTCATCGCAGGGCAACAAAGAGACACACAACCATGCACATGCAAACCTAAGCATAATTTAGACATACCAGTTAACTTAAGTCATGTTTTAGATTTTTGGAGGAATTCAACCCAGGACCACCTTGCTCCAACGCAACAGTGCTAAAAATATATATATACATATATATATATATATTTTTTTTTTTTACTTTTCCCCTGAGGCTCCATGGCTGCTTTTAGAAATGCTTCTATTTTCCTAATTGAACATAGTCACAGAGCAGCGATTTGACCCATTTCTTGGTATTTGTCAGAATTCTCCTGCAGCTTTTTGGATGAATTGCAGCTCCCTGATTTAAAAAAAAACATTAAAAACACCAATAACCTAAACGTGAAAACAAAACTATGCACAAGTTTTTCTGTTTCTTTTTTTTGACAGGAAATATAGGAAATATTTGAGAATAGTAAGCTAAGTAGCAGTTTATGTGGTTCTTGTAAGTATGTATTGGTGAACTGCCTCTTTTATTAACAAAGTTTACAGCATTGAACATCAAGGCATTTGAAAAAAGTTTGATTCTTCAAACAGCTATTATGTATTAAAATAAAAGGCTACACTAAATAAAAATAAAGAAATTAGTTTCAGGTAGAAACAGAAATAACTGCTTTGAGGGGAGAGTGGAACAAGAAATTTCTCTGCCTGCAGACAGGACAGCAGGCAGAGAAGAGGGAAGGGGAGCAATAACTTGGCAGAGAACTGATGGGCACAACAATTGCAATCAGTGGAGACAAAATAAGCAAAATGGACAAGAGGTCAGAGACAAAGGCTACAACGTGAAGGGCAACCTTTGGAGGACAGCAAGCAGTAAGCACTACTAGGGCTGGGTACTGAACTTCGGTTCTTTTATGGTACTGACCGAAATGCTTCGGTTCTACCGAGTATCAAAACATGCCTCGTCTTTCGGTACCAAGTTTCGGTGATTGGCTGTAACACTTAACGTGATTGCGTCATCCAGGAAAAAATACACAGGTGGTCACGCCTACAGCCAGGGTTCATGTGTATCTGTTGTGAACTGGTTGC